CGCGCGAGTCTCTACAGCGGGTCCGACATCTTCATTTAGTCCTATTTTCAACTCTTTCCGAGACGCAGCCCTATAAACTTTCACCATGTCACCTTCAGAGACCAAATGCTATCCGTGTCACTGTAATATCTGTCGCCCCTTCCGAAATCAGATATGCAAGTACTGGGCACTCATGAGCCTTTCCGAGATTTAATGCTTCACTCTTTGGGCCGATCAGTAAGACACTCTATAGACTCAAACATCACTCACCAGACCTTCCTGACTTGCTGGGCATATCCTGTAGGCCCTTTCAGTACTCTGGACCAAGCACTAATTGACTGGGCCCATCCGTCACTCATTCTGACAATCCGTAGATGCACTCTCACCGGCCACTTGTGTAAGCCAGTTGAGGATAACCAGTATCCGTCACTACATGTGCACGGACAGCCAACAATCCCTAGCCGAGCCCTTCCCTAACTCATGAGATGAAACACCAACACCGGGCCGGAGAAATATCCTACTGGGCCTATCAGGAAATTCCTGCACTTGCACATGTATGAAGAACATCCTGCTGGGCCCAACCATCAGCCTTTCCGAGATCATGTATGTCTCTCATGGGCCAGAAGCAATAACTCGCTTGCCCTCCGAGACCAAATGCACATCCCATATTCTTATTGATTGGCCCTTCTGAGACCAAATACATTCTCTTGGGCCACAAATTACCAGCAGTGCCCAACCATTGGTCCTTCTAAGATCATGTAGGCCTATCATGGGCCAGAAGCAATAACTCGCCAGCCCTTCCGAGGTCACATGTACCGTCCAATTCAGTATTCTTGTTAGTCGGCCCTTCCGAGATCATTTGATGCCTATCTGGGGCCAGACATAATCACTCGCTGGCCCTTCCGAGGTCACATGTACTGTGCAAGCCGTATATTCTTATTGGTCGGCCCTTCCGAGACCAAACACATATTCTCTTGGGCCAAAATCACCAGCCAGGCCCAACCGTCAGCCCCTCCAATATCATGTAAGCCTACCATGGGTCAGAAACAATAACTCGCGAGACCAAACACATTTTCTTGGGCCGAAAATAACCAGCTGGGCCCAAGCTGGGCCCATCGGTAAGCCCATCCAAGACTACCCAGCATTTGTACTGGGCTGAACAATAAACAGCTGGGCCTTCCCGTATGCACTGCCGAGATCAATACATTTGGGCTGCACGATAAATGGAATCATACATTGCATCTCCGGCCGGGATCATATGCATATCTGGTGGGCCTATCCAGCATTCCTTCTGGAAGATCCTGTATGGCCGTCCAGGTATCTGACACACCATTTATGGGTGAGAAGTGGGTTGAGGCCTACTTTGCCTATGGAAATTTCGTCATAGACCAGTTTACCCCTTTCCGGGTATCCGATGCACCATTTATGGGTGAGAAGTGGATTAAGGCCTACTGTTGCTAGAAAATTTTGTCATAGACCATTTTACCCATTTCCAGGTATCCTACGCACCATTTATGGGTGAGAAGTGGATTAAGGCTTGTTGCGGTGCATGCAAGATAAATAAACTACCTCTGATTGTGACAGCACATGCACCGCAACAGGCCTTAATCCACTTCTCACCCATAAATGGTGCATCGGATACCCGGAAAGGGACGAAATTTCCCAGGCACATTGTATTCTCACAGAAAATCAATTTCCCGGTCACGGGGTGTTGCTGCTTGGCTTTGTAAGTGCATTGTTGCTGCAGCAGTGAGCACTCACTGCAGTCACCGCTCGAGACACTATCACTCTTGTTGTCAATGTCAGATGTCTGGACCGCTCCGCCTGAAACTCAACTGTATTGTCTTGGGCGATAATCCTCGCCGTATTTTCCCGGTCGACATTGAGCGGATGGAGATTGTCGGTGACCTCAAAGAGGTCATCAAAGACAAGAAAAGGCCGGAGTTTGACCATGTTGCCACTGACCGTCTTGAGTTATGGAAGGTGAGTGATCTGATGCCTAGGATCAGATGTTGATAATCTGATATTTTGGAAGGTCGACCTGCCTATCGACGAGATGATTGAGCACAATCTCAACAATCTTACACTTGACCCAATGAAATCCCTATCACCTGTGGATGAAATGGTAGAGATTTTTCCCGATGCTCCTCTGCGCAAGTATCTGCATATTATTATCCAATGCCTGCCTGCCAGTGAGTTGTCCTTCGATATTGCTACCCTTTCCTCACTGAGTGGTCCAACTTAGTGTCTTCCGGACCGCTCTGCCTGAAACTCAACTGTATTGTCTTCGGCGATGATCCTCGCCATATTTTCCCAGTCGACGTTGAGCGGACGAAGACTGTTGGTGACCTCAAAAATGTTATCAAGGTCGCCAAGAAGCCAGAGTTTGACCATGTTGCCGCCGACCATCTTGAGCTATGGAAGGTGAGCGATCTGATGCCTATGGTTGAATGTTAATAATCTGATATTTTGGAAGGTCAAGATCAATTTGAATGATATACAGTTACGGAATGCAATCATGGATGGAGGCATCGAGCTGCGCCCATTAACCGAGCTGTCCGATGTGTTTGTGGATGGAATAGAGCGTAGATGTATTCATATCGTAGTGCAACATCCTGCCATTGCACGACACATTCCAGCTGTTGATAGGCGAATCGCTTATCTCAAGAAGGGCGCGGGTACTCCGTCGGCCGGTGCAAAACCATCTGCATTCTCTACGAAGCAGGACCAGCAAGAGTACCTTTGCAATCGTCCTTGCAGAGCCGCGGACCCTGTTCCCATTACTCTTCTCGAGCCTATCTTTGCCGAGTTCATGGATGATTGTCAAAAGTATGAACCAACTGTCCATGATAACGACTTTGTTTTGCAACTTTCGGAAAAGATGGCCTCCTTCTATCCCAATGAGCTCACGCGGATGAATACATTCCGGCAAGTGCTCCGGGACTATGGTATTATACTCAATGCTTCTATGGTTGGCTTGACCAGATGTATGACAGACGGACATCTTTTGTCTACCAACGGACAGTTTGTGCTGATGATAATTGAGGGGAAGAACGAGATCAGAAGTGGCGCTGCTGAACCATTTATGGTGGCGATGCTGTACTACCGCAAGTTTATGGAAGACTCGAAGATTGAGATGGTGAGGCTCCGGTCTTTCATTCCATGCATCCATATCATTGTCTTCGGTTAGTTCATTTCACCAGATTAATTGCTGAAGCTTTTTATTGATCACAAATAGGGGCATGCATCGGCTTTTCAGGCTCTGTTTTTACTGAAAAAGTCCAGTCTGATGTCCTGGTCCCTATCATTCCTCTGTTTTGGCATTCAACAGACCTCCATATGCAAGTGATGGCAGCTCGTACTTTTGGGGCTCTCAAAATTGCCGTCGAGAAACTTACAAAACTATACTCCCATCCAATCCTGTCCTTCGAACCCGAAGATCCATATCTTAAATGTCCTTACCCTCGGAGTTATACCAATTCCACTGGTTTCATTCAGGAATTCCGGTATGATGAGACTCAAATCCTCAGGGATCGACTTATTTTCTTTGGGGAAACCATCAGCGATGCTGCTGGGAGCAAGATATGCATCAAGTTTGTCAGGCACTATTCCCCTCAGGCTCATGAATTCTGTGCCAGCAACGGGAACACCCCCAAACTTATTGCCTACAATTCTTTACCCGGCGGCTGGAATCTGGTGATTATGGATGCCCTTGATATTGACAATGATTGCCTTCCGCAATGACCTGGCTCATATCGACTGCTCAGTGAGATAGGTGTTTTGGACCATCAGCCGCTGAAGGAGACCATCACCTCTCTCATCCGGGAGTTACACAATCACAATGATGGCTACATGCATGGCGACCTTCGAGATACCAATTTCATTGTGCGAGATGACAATCACTTCATGCTGCTCGATTTCGATTGGGCCGGACCGATCCAGAAGACACATTATCCTATGTATGTCAATCGGAAGGATATTTGACGGCCTGACGGTGTGTGGGATGGGCAGAAGATTGTGGCGGAGCATGATTTGGATATGCTGAATTATCTATTTCATCCTGAGCAAGATGTTCGGGAGCCAGCTGCAAAGTGCTGCCGTATATTAAGTGAAGGGTCGCTGATGGTCATTTGAGTCATTTATCATTTGTTGCATTTGCTTAATACCAGTCTGTTTTTTCATCATAAAGCTCACATACAATGACTTTGAGAGAATGGCGACATAGATTAGTATCTGTTGTATTGTAGCTAGCCAATTCGATGATTGCTGATGACACACGCCTTCTCACAAGTCTCAGTGAGGATTCTACTGTACATAAATGGAATACAGGGCCTCATCCTCAGCAAATACAGCGATAAAATGATCTCAGAGTGGACGGTACCTTGGAGCCATACAGGATCTTCCAGAAGCAATGGTAGATCGGCCTTTCCCGATGTAGATCCCAAGAGTTTAGCCTATGGTAGCCGTGGTGGTTCTCTACAATAGTCTTACACTCGGTTCACACATATGACTCTCCACAGTTGTCAGAATGCCCATAACCGATGGGTTGATATAGAACCTGGCTGCTGTCAGACATTTTCCCATACAATGATCCCCCTTCCATACATCCCGTGAATTGCAACATATCCTATCAGCAATGGACCCCATTATGCCGCCAGCTCTTCCATCCAGCAAATCCCTCGACAATCTGATTGCTGCAAGGGCGACGGAACCAGAGCTTGTATCACCAGCACCAGACCCAACAGCTGCGGGTGTGCAAATTCTGCCACACCTCCCCGTCAAGCATTCAAGCGCAAGATCTATTTACGGCGAGACCCGGAACCACCTGCTGAACGGGTTCGCTTGGACTACCGGCGCATGTTTTGCCAATATAGTCTCAAGATCCATTGCAACCTATTTTCTTCAGTTCCGATGACCTGTAGGTATTACAGCCCGTCCATTTCCCAATATGCGTAAGAAGTCTGGTCCCATGGGTTTGGGCCGTCAGTCGGGCCCGGGTGCCACAGCCTTCTGAGCATAAGACAGGATGCACCTGTCAGTCAGTCACAGATACAACGACGCGCCCATCATTGTTGGGGACATAGTTCTGGGGCCATCAGCCGGTCTCAGATATGAAGGCCCAACCATCGTCGATGGGGACCTAGGTATCGGTTCCGTCTACATCTGGGACATCCGCCGGTACCGGGTACGATAGCCTGCCCACCGTTGGCTGAGATGAGGTTCAGTTCTAGGCCCATCTGCCGACATCTGCCTGTACCACACATGACAGGCTGTCATTCCCCGCGCATCATCGCGGATGGTACACGTATGGTGCATCCCTCCGACATGTATATCAACGTTGGATCTGGATCAGCATTCGTATCGAACTTTGTCCCGTATTTCATTACTCGTTTCTGTTGCACCAGTTGCATCTGTAATACTAGTCTCTGACACAAAGTGCACTGACTTGGCCAACATTCCCTAGCCGAGCCCTTCCGAGATCCAACACTTGCACTGGGCTTATCCGGAAGCCACTCCAAGATTATTTGCACATGTACTATGCCGAAGAATATCCTGCTGGGCGCAACTGTTGGCCCCTCCAAAATCAGATGCCTATCATGGGCCAGACCACATAACTAGCTGGCCCTTCGAGAATACAATGCAGTCCCATGCCATATATTCAGCTTAGTCAGCCCTTCTGAGATCAAATGCATATTCTCTTGGGCCCATCCGTAGGCCCATCCAAGACTACCTGGCATATGTACTGGGCCAAACAATAGATGGGACTATACATTGCCCCTCCGGGCAGGATCATATGCATATCTGGTGGGCCGAAAAAACTTGCTGGGCCCATCTGTGACCCCTACCAAATCAGTACCACATCCATATACTAATGGCTCACCCATCACTACTGGAAATTCCTTCATGGTAGGCCCACCTGACTTGCCTGCATATTGGGGCCCACCCCGATCTGCGTGAATGCGCATGTGCTGGGCCAGTTCGGGCCTTCCGGATATTGGTGCACTGGGCCTAAACCTTACCAGCCGGACTGATCCACATATTGAATGCAAGGACCAATTGGGCCCTTCCGGATGCTTGTGTACTGAGCCGATCCGCACCTGAATTTGTTATGTGCCCAGGTCTTGCATATTTGACCTATCCGCTGTAGAGACTCGCGCGTCTCAATGACGAATATCCGGCCTTTAACCATACATTCCTATATGTTACAGCTCTACTCCTAAGGACCAGTCTCGCGCGAACTCGCACGCACTTAGGCGCGCCTTACCTACGCACGCGCTATGCGCGCGCCTCCTCATAGGTCTTCGCGCTATCGTCCGTCCATCCGTCCCATGTCCTTACTGATTCGCTGGTGCGTTATTTCTATCTTATCCATTGAACTAATAAAATCTTCGGTCCGACATCCGCGCTACTTATGGAAAGTTTATTTAAACTTAGTTATAATTAGAGTTGATATGGTTACTCGGTTCGGGAGCGCGCTCGGAAGCGCGCCTTCTCCATTCTTAAATACAGAAGGGTTTCCTTTGGTTCTGGTATTTACTTTTCCCTTATCTTTGTGTACTGGAAAGTGAATAGATCACCTCCCCACTTGTTATCTGATCATATCCTCCTGTCAATCCTCCACCTTTGCACTCACTCCTCAGTAAGATCTTGCCTCTAATGCTTTAGGCGCGCCTTCGCTTCGCGCGCGCGCATTCTCGGACCTCCCGCTCACGCGCGCATCTCGCGCGCGTTATCTTCTCGCGCCTATTAGCGCCCGCCTAGCTCACAGAGTTTCCCTCCACTTTATTTCGAGGAACTTCTCTCAGTGGTTGTCCTTTGGGTCGAGTCGTTGTCTCGTATCCCGGTCTTGCTGTTGAGCACCCCTTTTGTTTTAAGTGTTTTCACGTATAGTCAAGATTCCTCATCTACAACTGGAGCCCACCGCGAGGGACACTTCTGAGATAGAAGGTCGGCGCCTCAGACCCAACAGTCGCCGCATAGCCAGAGAAGAAGCCATCGCCGCATTCGACAGAGCGGTAGAATCCATTATACCAGGACCCTTATTCATTCAACACACGCGCGGTCGTTCGCGCAATATATCAGAACCTCCGCGACCAGATCCAGCACTCTTCGCGCGCGTGCCTAGACAACTGATATCGCCAGTCACGCCCTCGCCTGAAGAATCCGTCAAGGAAGAGTCATCCGACGGCTTCGAAGCAATAGATAACCCAAGGAGCCAACTTCCCGGAGCATTCCTCCACACGCCCAATCAACCTCCTTTTAATACTTCTAACCTGTCAGCGCTAAGCGCGCTAACCGAGCTTGACGACTCTAGCGACACTCCACTTAACGCGCCAGTAGTTCCTGCGCGCGAGAACGCGCTTCCTACAACGGGAATACCTAAGATCAAGCAAGAAGCTTTAGACACCCCGCGCACGCCATTTTCAATCCCAGGCGGTACTGTTATATCAAACCTTCCTTTCGCGTACGCGCGCCAAGCACCTGTCAGTCACAAGATCCCCGCGCCTGCAATTTCCCAACCGCCCGTCATGTCCACAGTAAGAACCAGAATGCCTGTCCGTGGAACAACGGACGCGCTCAAATTTGATGGCACAACCGACAACCTCGCCGACTTTATCGACCTATACGAGCAGCTCGCTGACGACGTAGGTCTACAAGGTCTCGATCGCATTAAGGGTATCATCCGCTACCTTGAGCGCGATGACCGAGAATTATGGGGCGGAATGCCGGAGGCGCAAGTAAGCGATTACAATGCATTCATGAAAGAAGTCAAGGTAATGTATCCCGGATGGGATGGCAAAAGGCGCTATGCGCTTTCGGACCTACAAGCCATCGCGCACGAATACACGAACAAGACAATGCCCTTGTACCAGGAGTTAAGCAACTACCTTCGCGCGTTCAAGAAAGTCATGCAACCGCTATTGGCAGAAGATCGCATTGGTAAAGCCGAGCACGATCGCATATTCATGGAAGGGATTCCCAAGGATACTCAGGCGCTAATACGCACGCGCCTCATGATCAAATTTCCTGATCACTACCCGCAGGATCCATACCCGTTCATGGACGTCTTTACAGCTGGACCTTTCGTTCTGCCCGCGAATGCGCCTGCAGCAAGCGCGACGCCTAGCGCGCCTATGGCAGCGTCGTTCACTAACCTAGTCACAGCTACCACGTCAGCGCAATCGCCCGCGCAAGGCACAGTAACCAAGCGCGAATATAAGCGCGACGCGCCTACGTTCAATGACTGCGCCTTTTGCAGCAGTCTCGAACATTACTACCCTCGTTGCGCAGAGAAACAAAGGTATATTGACGCGGGTAAATGTAAGGTTAGCGAAGAGACGCGCAAGCTTGTCTTGCCAAATGGCGACTGGATTCCAGGTTGAGGATTACTCAAGGATCGTCTAGATCGACATCACGCAAGTCGCGCGACACCGGATACGACCACCAGTACAGGCGCGACAGCGGGACTATTGTATCGCGCGTCCGACGAGATCGACGCGGTAATTGAAGTAGGCTCATCTGCGTTCGTGCACACAGTCACGCAAACGGAACTCGATGAGGACAACGAGACGGTGGATCTCATGACAGAAGCGATAGCCTATGTAGCTGCAAGGCGCGACCAGAAGCGCAATGCCAAAGGTAAAAGTGTGCGCTTCGATGGTGTAGAAATACACAGCGAAACGCGCGCGCGTCCGAGACCTGCATCTAGGCAAGCCACGGTAGAGGAGGAGATAATCTCTCCCGAAATACAGGCTTCGTCTGACAAAGGTAAAGGAAAAGAGGTAGCGAAAGTAGCGCCATTAAGCGCGCCAATAAGCGCGCCAACAAGCGCCAAGGCGCCTCCTAAGGGCGCCTCGCCCGCATCGTCAACACCATCATCGTCCGCGCCAGTATCGTCATCGTCGACATCCCCATCTCAATCTTCAGTATTGCCACCATCGTCGTCATCAACACCAACCCAAGCACCAGCACAGTCATCATCA